CTTTGCCGCTGAGCTAAATCCCCAGCCCCCTCTCCTCCATTCATATTCCAAGCTCATTAAAGGCCTAATTATTAAAAATAAACAATAAACAGTCAGTAAAACAATAAAATAATCAATAAAATATTGAGACACATGGACGTGCACACTTATAATCCTAGCACTTGGGAGACTGAGGCAGGAGGTTCAACATGTGATGAAGGCAAACCTGAAGTACATAGTGAGTTCAGAGTGAACCTGAACTACAGAGCAAGACACTGTGCCAAAAAAAAAAGAAGAAAAACAGGTAAGACAGAAACAGGAATAAATTGAGCCACAGTAGATAATATATATAATTTTTCTTGAACTGGTAAAGAATTCTGTCTTAGTTACTGCTCTCATTGCTGAGAAAAAATACTGGAGGCTCAAAGTTAGAGGAAGGAAGGTTTATTTAGCTCACAGTCTGTAGAGGTTTCAGTCCATAATCGACTGGCTCCATGGGAGGGTGGCATGGAAGAGGAGAAACAGTTTGTGGTAGGTTGAAAGTAACAAAACAAGCCCAGGATGATCAGAACTCTTTCTGTCCCTCATCTCTTATCCCAGCTACAGGGAGTGGGGAGCACCCACACCCTCAAGCCTAGTGTCATGAACTTAGCAGTGCTCCAGGAATCAACCCCAGTTAAACACATTCCAGATCCAGACCCTTCTAAAGATGCGCCAATTCTGTTCACATGAAGCTTTGCAGGGACATCTAGACACAAGTCTGAACAGATTTAAATGCTTTGATTTTGCTTACTCTGTAGTATACTATCCTCATCTGCAAAACATCTTCAGTTTCTGTCTTTGTGATCCTGTGGCTTGGAATCTGGACTTCTCTGCTGAGAAACACTCTAGTACTTTTAAAATATCAAATAGGGTCTATCTAAGTGACTAAATTGTCTGGACTGGAGTCAAATTCATGATCTTCCTGCCTCAGGTTCCCAGAGTGCTCAATGACCTAGCTGCTGAGCTCTTTTTTTTCATATAAGGTATTTACTATGCAATATGAATGAAAGATAAATGCTTGCTTAATTGGACCACAAGACACTTCCATTATTATTTTAGGGCTTTGTCCCAGTGATCAGAAACTTCCCAAACAAGAAGGGACTGAGATTCCACATCACTCAGAACCCACTTTCCAGAGGGACTGGAATTCAAAGGACTAGTTGCTTGAATAGGGACTAGTTGTTTGAATAGACAGGGTAGCGTGGTCCTGCTTCCATCAGGCACACATGTATGGCTTTGGAGTAACCCAGGTAAATGAAATTAGGGTAAACTGAGAAGGTTTTACCGTAGGCAGACCAAGGACTGTGGCCTTGAGTTGGTTTTCATGGATTAGAAGGATTTTCTGAGCTTCATATGAACAGATGCCTCTTTCTGGAAGTTACCCAGTTTCCTTCTCCTTGCAGATATCTCAGGACGAGTATGCAGAGACCATCACCTGTGTATGAGCTGGCCAAGCAGAGCCTGCTGAACAGTGAGACCATAGCCAGCAATGCTGTACATGACCTGCCCACCGAGACCTTCCATGACCTCTTCAGGGATGCCTTCATGGGGGGACGCAATGAGGTCCTGAAAGTGATGGTGTAGGCCTGGCCATTCCACTATCTACCTTTGAGGACCCTAATGGATTTGAGGAAACCCAAGATGCCACATGCTCAGTTTGCAGAAATCATACTGTAACAGAAAAACCTACAGACATTAAAAGCCGTACTGGATAGACTTGATATACAGCTGTCCCAGAAGGTTCACCACAGGTGAGCATGACACAACATTCCTGGAAGGAGGTCCGTGAACTCCGTTAAGTGACAGTTGTTGTCAGTGCACAAGGGAGACTGAAGTGTGGAGCAGCTTCTGATGTTGAGGAGGATCACAGAGTTCTTGGCTTTTGCTGAGCCTGACATGGGACAGGGTTACCTGATGAGAAAGATGTATGTGCGGGATGTGATGAACTCAGGAGAAACCTGCATCTTCCTAACCTCACAGGAACTAGAAGCTGAGCCGTACTCCATGCAAAGGTTACAAAGGGAGAAAAGGGAAGGCAGGAAGGTAGGGGAATGGCAGATGCCCAGAAAGTGCAAGAGACCAGGAAGGAAGTTGGGTCTTTATCTCAATTCTGAGGTTGCTTCCTGTCTTACACACAGCAGGTGGAAACTTCAGGTGCTGGACTGGAGGGATGTATACCAGGACTTCTGGACTGCAGGGCCCAGAGCCATGAGTGCTTCTCACTCAGTTGATGCCAGGAATAAGGAAATGGGCAGGCCTGTGTTAAGTGAGAAGAACCCACCTTTGAGAATATTCTCAAACCTTTGTTTTGAAGCTTGGAGTCAGTTTTGTGCCACCAATGATCAATTACAGCTCTTACCTCTTGAAGTGGGCCCGGAGGAGAAAAGCTTCAGTGCACCTGTACTGTGAGAAGGTGATGATCAAATCCAGTGCTGTCTCTGAAATTCTGACGTTTCTTCAAGCTGTGCAACTGGATTCCATCCATGAACTTGAGGTGTTTAGTGACTGGGGTCCAGAAAGCATGAAAACATTTGTTCCTCAGCTAAGGAAGATGAAAAACCTTCACACCTTTCGCTTCAGCAGCCTGAGTCCAGAAGTGTGTACTGCACCCTTGAAAAACAACTGGTATTACCGCATCTATGCCTCAAACTTAGCACAGCTGAAAAATCTCCTTGAGCTTCGATGGATGAAGTCTTCTTCCTGCATGGAAATCTGCATAAGATCATCAGGTGAGTGGGGGGAGAGCTCCCCTGCACATTTACGGTTACAGGAAAAAATTAATAGGGCTCTTTGTTTCCCTCTGCTGGCCTAGGGGAAAATCCTAGGAAGTGGGAAAGACAGCACTGTCTCATCTATGGCAAGGTCTCTCCTAACATCCCATGTAAAAGCAGGGACTAATCTGGGATAGGAGTCTTGGAGCAGGTGTCATGTCCAGAAAGCCAGCAGTCAGGAGCAGCCAAAATGAGGGCAGATTAGATTTCTTCTTCAGAAGCAACTCCAGGTAGGGTCCTGGGAAAAGGGAAGAGAGAGCACTCATGGAGGAGCAAGCCATACGCCTGCACATTATACAGGTGATTGTGCTCAGCAGCTGTGATGGGCAGCGAGCCCTTTTCCAGGTATGTAAGGAAAGGCTGCTGCTTGTTTCTCATAGCTACTGTCTAATTGCAAGGACAAAGTACCCAACACGCACAAGTTAAAGCACTAAAGGTTTTTTTTTTAAAATCTCAAAGTTTATACAAGATTTAGTCCTTACTCAGCAGACTCCAAGCATGGAAGAGAAGCAGCAGTCCATTGCAAGATAGGCAGAAGACAGCTTGCTACCGTCTCACTTCCTTTATAGTCCATCCAGGCTATAAGGCTATTGTTGGCTGCCATCCACATGCAGGATGATGTTTCCTCTTTCCGTAAATCCATCCCTTGGAGACATGCAAAAGAAGTCACTGGGCTGATCCAGTTATTGCACCCATGATCTAACCACTTCCCCAAATACCCACCAGTGAGAGCATAAGGATTTGTGCGGACAGCAAGTTAAAAGCTGCAACAGTGCTCAAGGCAGGGAATGAGAAGATGGGAAGTGCAGGAGTCAAGTTGAGGGTGATGTGGAGGAGTGCAGGGATATGAACAGGGTCACAGGCTTTGCTGAGGACATAGGGCCAACTGCATGCATTGGCCAAACATGCCTGGGATCATTCTTCCTGCAAGTCAATCACTGAACTCATCTGGCCAGAGCTGTGGTTTTCTGCTTGGTGCTCAGAACAGGGGACTGTAGAGAATGGGGACTGAGCCACTCACACAAGTGATGGTGATTTGAAGGATCAGTGCCTTCAACACATAGCATTCCGGGATCATCAGATGGTTAGGGCAACCTAGGACTAAACTAGAAGTCCTACCTTGAGGTCATTTCTAATGCACTCCTCTCATCACCCTCATTCATATGAAATAAATTCTCACTCTGCAGGAGCCAGACCCCAATGGAGGCCCTCTCTTTGAGTTCAAGTCCACTGAAGGAATCTGACCTAAAGCATCTGTCCCAATGTGCAAGCACAAGCCAGCTCAAGTCCCTGAGTCTGAGGAAGATTTCAACGAACTCATTCAATCCTGAGACACTCCAGGCTCTGCTAGACAAACTGGCCAGCACCCTGGAGAACCTGACCCTAGAGCACTGTGACATCACAGAGACCCAGCTCCTTGCCATCTTGTCTGCCCTCGGCCACTGCACCAGGCTAAAGACTTTCAGTTGCTATGGGAACCCCTTTTCCCTGGGCCCCTTTTCCCCTTTTCCTCAGGTCCTGTTGCACTTAACTGCTAGACTGAGCTGATTAACTGAGGGGCTGTATCCTGCCCCCCTGGAGAGTGATGAGTCCAATTTTCCAACAATGTTTGTGCACCCTGAGCTGTTTGTCCAGGTCTGTGTTGAACTGACACAAGTTCTGAAGGCCATAAGACCATCTCTTAGGATCCAGATCTGTACCCACTGCTCTCATTTATTTAGAATACGTGAATTCTATAGACTGGATCTCAGTGGGAACTGGGAAGTGACAGAGGAGGATTGCTATTGAACTGACAATAGATGCTACAGTTGTGTCCGTCCCCAACTCAGATACTGTATTTTCTTAATTTAGATGTCCCCACAAACTGTCATGTACTCCCAGCTGGGCCTTATAGGCAGTGCCCGGATCATGTAGGAATGATGCTAACAGCCTGGTAGAGGACATGGGTCCCTGAGGTTGTGGCCTAGAAGAAAATATCTCCCTCTCTCCTCTCTCTCTAGTTCCCACAGGCAGTTCATGAGCTCCTCTGCCACGTATCTCTGCCATGTTGGCCTCTGAACTGAATTTTAAGACAAAATAAATCTATTACCTCTGAAATTCTGAGTGTCGGGTATTGTGTACTGGTGGCAAGGGAAGTAATGCAGATGTGCATGTTAGTCCTCTATAGATAATTGTGAGTAGCAATTGGTCCTAAAGGGAACGTTCTGGGTATGGAAGAACATGTGCATAGAATGAGCACCTGGGATACTGAGTCAGGAGTATCTCCTCAAGTTTATGGCTAATCGTTTTTCTTTGTTTTGTTTTTCATCTTTTTAAACAGAGTCTCACTATACAGTTCAGGCTTTCCTGGACCTCACTTTGTAGCCCAGGCCCATCTCCAATTTGCAGCAATGCTCCTGCCTCAGCCTCCCAAGTGCTGGGGTTACAGGTGTGCCCCACCAGACCTGGCTGTTAGTGGCTAATCTTAGTTACATAGTAAGACCCTATCTTAAAGTAAACGAGGACCCTAGAAGGGGAGTGGGGATTATAAAGGGACAAGAGACACGAAGAATGGAGGCAAGACAAGATTCTGATCAAGCCTCATTTTTTAGCGGGAAGTGCCGTGCTTATATACGGCACGGAGAAACGCGGAAGTTCTAAGGCGGGAATAACCAAATAACCCGACAAAGGCGGGAGTAGCTAGGTAACGGTAGGCAGTCCTGATTTAAAGGGAAAGGCGCGTAAGACGGCTACTAATATACAATGGAGGTCAGTCTCGGTCTCCTACACTGCCTCAGCCTCCCAAGTGCTGGAGTTACGGGTGTGCCCCACCAGACCTGGCTGTTAGTGGCTAATCTTAGTTACATAGTAAGACCCTATCTTAAAGTAAAATAAATCCATAGATAGACCAGTATAGGGAATGTTAACGTAATCTCCTGTAATAGCTCAGTGACTTCATTTTCCAATTTTATTTATGTACTGATTATTTTTTATTAGTATGTTTCCTAGGCACAACAATTACCTTCATCTTGAGTAGGGAAGATTTATTTTTCTGTTTTTGTTAGTACAGGAAATTGAATTGAGGATCTTCATGCGGCATTATCTCTTCATCCCTTTTTATCTTCTAGTTTACTTTATACATGCTTTCCATACCTAATGATCACATTAATCATGTGGATTTGAGGCATATGCATAATACATCCCAACTCTTTCTATGTTCTGCTCCCTCCCCTTCCATCTCTTGCTCCTCTTTCATTTGCAGGTTTATGTTTTGAGGCAAGGTCTCACTGAGTAGCTAAGTTGTCCAGGATAGGCTCTATCCTGCAGTTTTCTCATCTCAGTTTCCAAGAGTTCTGGGATTACAAGCATGCCCCCAAACACCCAGGAAGGCTTTTCAATTTGCCTTCAGCAATTTCCCATACTCAGAGAAAAAAAGCCATTGGATTCCCTTGTGTGCATGGGGACAGGCTGTGGGATCTTCAGATACCAAAATAACATACTGCCCATCATATTCTTCCCTCTCTTTTCCAGTGCTTGCATGGACACTGGGGCCTCAACCATTCTAGGCCAGTGGTCTACCACTGAGCTGCACTCCCAGCCACATTTGCTCTTGTCTCCTTCCCTGGGAACATCTGTTACCTCCCTGTTTATTTTTGAGGCTGTTTCCAGAGTGGTGGAGTGCACAGCCTCCAGGTTGGCCTCATTTACTTGGGGCTGCATCTGTATGCCTACAGGCTCTCCTGGCTTGACGATATTGCACTCTCTGGATGAGCAGAGTTGAGTTAGTCATCCCTCTACTGAACAACAGCTGGTCAATTTCAAACACCAAAGTGGTGAAGAGAGCAGCTGGGAACATCTTGGCGGAGCTTTGCTCTCTTGGATGAACACCTTATAGCTCCATTGCTGGGACACGTGTTAGGAATATATGTTACCATTTTTCCATGACAGTCTCTCTTGTTTGATTTGTCCCATAAAAGTCAGGGACATTCTCTACAGCCCTGTGCTGGACAGCTGAGCATGGAGCCTGGCAAGTGGCAGTAAGTGCTGGCTGCCCATAGGTGGCTGGGAATCTCCAACATTGAGTCACTGCTTCTAAGAGGAAAATTTGGGTAAGTGAACATAAGCAGGTGAAAACTGATGGGAATAAGATGCACATAGAGAATGCAGCACTCGTGATGCTGTGGATAATGCCCAGGTGTCATGAAATCCAGAATTTGCAAGGGTGGACAATCTCGATCTGATTTTCATACATTCTCCCCTAACACATGGAGGAAATTACTCATGTGTTATTAACTCCCACTCCTCTGAAATAAATTTTAATGAAAAGTTCATTGAAAGTATCAGTTTACTAAGTCTGCTTTAGTCATATATAGGCAACTTCCTTAGCACCTTGGAAGACAATTGATATGAATTGGGACAAATTGTATTGTATATGCATTATGTTCATTGTACATATAATACACTGCAGAGACCTAGGGCCAGTGGTCCATGTCCCTCATCATCAACACACTTGTTCTGCTCCCAAGAACAGGGGAGGGCAGAGACACAGTGCACAAATGTGGCACAGTTTCCATGTGGCCACCATCTCATGAGGATTCCACAGAGCAGCAGAGCTCTGGCAGCCATCCTGGCTGTGGATGGGGGCACAAGGCTGGTTCCATCACTAATGCAGTGAAGAGTCCAAGCTTTGGGACAAGCCTGCACCGTGCTGGTGAGATAGGTAGGGTGAGAGAAGTTTTTGTGAGCAAGACTGTATTTTGTGTACTAGTTTTCAAAATTACTGTCACGAAATGCAGTTTTGCTGGGAGTGGTGGCACAGGCCTGTTTTACCAACACTCAGGAGGCAGAGGCAGGAGGATTGCTCTGAGTTTGAGGTCAGCCTGGGCCGCAATGTAAGTTCAAGGCCAGGGTGAACTGCATAGCAAGACACTTTCTAGAAAAGAATGAGAGAGAGACAGAGAGAGAGGTGGGGAGGGGAGAGAAGGAGAAAGAAATGCTGTTTCAGGATGAATATTAGTGCTGTCACTTTCAGAATGAATATTAGTGCTGCCACTTACATAAATATCAACGATAAAAATTGTCTTTTAAAATTATAGCCGAATGAGAGCATAGTGGCACTTTCCTGTAATCCCAGCACTGTGATAGGATAAGGAAGGAGAACTGCAATTTCCTGTCCAGCCTGAATGACTCCACAAGTTCCTGTCTCAAAATAATGATTTAGGTGGGTGCAGTCTCAGCACCTTATAGGCTGAG